ATGATTAAATGCATATTATTAGGGGTCAGAAGAACCTGAGTTCCAATCCAGACTCCACTTCTTCTAACCAGTATGATCTTGGACAGCTGGCTTAACTCTTCAAGTTTCATGTCTTTGTCTGTACAATGCTATTACATACCGAATTCCTAGGGTTCTTACATAATATACATGTTTTGTATATTTTTTGTATATTACATTATCTCTTATAAGTAACTATTATTAACAGTACCATTATTTCTCATAATGAAAGGTATGAAAAATAATATAAATATTACATGTATGTTATTTTATTGCTATTTATTTTGCTATTAATTTTTTGTTATTTATTGCTATGGTTATTTACAGTAATGCTGGAGTGATTTACTGATAGCCAGTATAGAATCACCCATTCAGACTATGTAATAAGTATCACTTAAGCCCAACAACCTCACAGATGTGCATTCTTGCTTTGGACTGAACTGGGGATAAGAGGTTAAACAGTTAACAGCATTGCCTTTAGTTCTGCAGGCTTAAAGAAACAAAGCCCTGCTCCCACCAAAGAAATCTTTAAAATGCTTCCCATCACATTCAGAGCCCCTTAGAGCATCACTTATTGAGCCCAAGGATCCAAAGAGATGGACCGTAATTTCAGTTAAGCAGTGGTTCTCAGACTTTAGCACCCATCAGAATAGTTTGGAGGACTGTTTACACAGAATTCTGGGCTTTATCCCCAGAGTTTTGGAGTCAGGGGGCCAGGAGTAGAACCCCAATTTTCATTTCTAATGACTTCCCACATGATACTGATGATGGTGTTTTGGGGACCACACTTTGAACCATTGAGATCATAGACATACTTGAAATATGAGAAACCTGACTCCAGAGTGAAACACGTGCAGAAGCCTTTTCAGTAAAGTGAATTGCCTGATAACCCCTGTAAAAATGAGGGCTTCCTATTTTCAGCCCCCATGTTTTCTACCCTGTACTGCCCTTTTCTTACTTTTTAAATTTATTAATTGGGGAAATGGTTTCATGAAGTTGTTTTTAAATTTTATGAGCCTGATAAAATCTATAGACACTCTCTCCAGAAAAGTCCATATATACATTGCCTATAATTTCGGGAGACTCTTGGACACCTCCTCCACCAGCCCACCCCTGACCCTTAGACATATCGGTAGAAAAACTATGCCCTAAAGCAAAGTCTTGAGCTTACTCGAATGTAACAAAAATTCCCTTCTTATACTTAACCTTTTGGTTAAGTATACTCACCTGAAAAATAGGAATAATAATAATACTTCTCACTTCAAAGATTATGAAAATTAACTGATTAATACATGGAAGAGCCTAATTTGAAAACCAAAACCACTAAATACTACCTTTTTTTTCTCTGTGTAGTACTGCTACAACAATCTTCATTCTTGTGGCAAGTCAGTGCCTCTCCCTACTAGGGGAAAAATCAGAAAGTATAAGAAAGAGCCCAAAGAGTAATTTTCAAGAACTTACTCTGTGCCCATTGCATTATTTTGCTAAAATCTGGTCAGCCTGCCATGTTGTTTCTCTTTGTGAGTCACTGAGCAATGGGATCTAGCAAGCCCCAGGCCTGGCTCTGTAACCTGAGAGTCTCACTTCATTTGTCCTGAAATACTCCACTTTTCGAATGTCCAGTGCCTTCTCATGCCCCCATGTTAATACCTCCCAACAGAAAGACAAGAATATAAAATTCTAACAGGGGTTCATTTCCATGCTAGAAGACACTGAGTCTTGAGAAATAGTGATTAAAAGTTAAGCTCAATTCTCATTGTTTTTACAAAAATAAATATGTTGATAGGCCAATCAGCAGACACTTATTTAGCTCCTACTGTATACACTGTGCAAGAGGAATAACATGCTTCTGTGCTGTACCAACTCACAGTCCAACAGGGAAGATAGATACAGCAAAAATAAACCCAACACAAAGTGAGCCATAGCAAGGACAATGATTGTTCAGACAGTGTTTCAGGAGTACAGGAGAGGGAGAAATCACTTCCGACAGGGATCCATAGAAGTCTCTTGGGCAAGGTGATATTTAAGCTGGACCCTGCTATAGGTGAATGTTATGGAGAAGGGTGTTTTAGGCTGTGGGAATCTTTTGAAGAAAAGCATGGAGTAGAAAAAAGGCTTGTATAAACTTGTGACATTATGATTTAGCCAGGGTAACAATAGTATGGGTTTGAGGTGAAGGTGTAGAGCTTGAGGCTAGAAAGATAAGCTGGAAGCATATTGTAGGAAGAAACCAAAGGCCAAGTGAGGAGCTTTGGCTTTCCTCTCTATGCAGTGAGGAGGGATTGAGGGTCTCTGAGTAGAGGGATACTCAAAGCAGATCTGTTTTAAGAAAAAGAATCCTGGTGCTGCCACGAAGACTAGACAGTAGAGGGCAAGAAGAAAGAGAGACCTGGTGAAGGTAGGGGGATCTGAACTAAAGCAAGAGAAATGGGAGAGTAGCATGGAGGGGACAAAGAGGAGAGGCACTTGAGAGGCTGCATTTGTTTGGGGATGATTGATGACATACAACAACAAAAGTTGAGGAAAGCTGAGAGGGCTCCCCAGGCCAAATTGCTACATAAAGCAGACTGTGGTCTCAGAGGAAGAGACTAGCTAGCGGCCCCGAGGCCATGTGGCTAGGGATACCTCTTGGCCACCCCAAGAAGACGGTTCTCCTTCCTAGAATGCCCAGAGGGGCAGCAATTGACCATCTGCTTTGCCTGCGTGAAATATCAAAATCACCTTTTCTGAACATGGGTCCTCAGCCTAGCAGCTTCAGAAGTCCTGAAAGTTTTTTTTTAAGAAAAACAACTTTTAGGCACTTTTCCAGGTGAATGTGACCTGGGAACCCAAGTGGGTCTGAGGTGGGGCCCAGACATCCATATTTTGTAAAGCTCCCAGGTGATTCTGATGCACAGCTGGATTTGGGAACTACTATGGGAAATGTATAGAAAACAGAGAGTCAACACAAAGTGCCGGTGAACACTAGGATGGCTTGAAGACCTTAGGTTTTGGTCTCAAGCACCATGACCTTCACTGAGTGTCTTAGCTTACCCTCCATCTTCCATTCTAATCCTCAGCAAACACATCAGGACATAGGAGAGGCTGCATGCTTGACAAGTTCCCCTGAACTTCCCAGAAGGACTAGTGCCTACAAACCATCCTTTTCACTCTTGTCCTCATTTGAAATAGAAAGAGAGCTTGGCTGCATTAGAGACACCATGAGAGTCTTATTACAGGGTGTTTTCAGTCCTTAGAGGTCAGGCTTCATAATATTACCACGCATTTTCTGCCAGACTTATACAACACCCATAGGATTTTCATTGCTATTATTGTTTTTATTTCTCAGAAAAATCATACAGTTCAAAGGTAAGGCAGGTGTTAAAAACATCCCTTCTACTCACAGGGCTCTGCATGATCTGGTGACTTGGGGAAGGTCAGACAACCAGAGCTGGTCCCGAATCCTCCATCCTCCCGTCCTGAAGCTCCACTCCTGCTTCTGTGCCATAATGGAGAAGGGAAACATAAAGGAATTTTTCTCTCCTTGTAAAAGAGAAAAAGTAGGAGGAGGGGGATTATTTAAACACACCTCACTCACACTGCAGTCACTGCATTGTTTTTCCTGTTGAAACACCCTGTTTGTTTTTAAATCCTTTTAAACCTACCGGCACCTGTATGGCCTGGATCCAAGAATTATTACCGAACCTCTCACTTTTTATATCTAGCCACATAGGAGTTTCTGTGATGGTATCTGGCTCTTGGTTCAGTTGAAAATTTCAAAGCTTCCAGAAGTCTTTTTTCTTCCATAGAACTAGAAGCATGCAATGCTCAGACCTGATTTTTTTTTTAATTGAGCAGATATGTTTCCCCCCTTTTAGTTCTCCTGCTGGATAAAATAATATCTTGGCATAACCTGAATTGTTCCTCATAAAAATACTTCTGAAATACTGACCAAAAGAAAGGATAGGGGGCAGATGGGGAGTCTCCCCCAGCAGCTTATGATATGTGAGGTGACCTCTCTTCAGGGCAAGAACTAAGGCTGGAAACATAATGAGGACTTCCCAGCAAATTCATTATAACAAAGCATAATGTGAGCTCACTGGGCACAAAAATAGGCTGAAGGAAAGTGACTCCCACATAAGACCTAATTAAATACTTTGATGTCAGAAAGCAGAGCAGGGAGGGGTGGAAAATCAAATCAGACCAAAGTAAAGACTTAAATTTAAATGGAAAGAAAAAATGTTTCTCTCCACCACCACCCCTCCACCACCCCGTTCAGCCTCTCTGTGTCTCTGTCTCTCTCCTTTTCTTCCTTTACCATGAAGGAAGGCTAAGATTCAGGAACAATGGGTTGTAAATTCTTCAGCCAATTAGTCCAGTGACTTACTACTGTTTATAATGCACAGAATATCACAGGCTGTTTTGCGGCCTCCCCAAGTTGGTTTGTTAATAACAGGAAGCTAGCACTTCTCAGTACAGTGGATCAAGCTACACGTGAAAATAAATGCAAAAAACCTGGAGGGGAATAGAAGCAGACCGAGAGTAGCCTTGATTTAATTTAACGTTTGGGGGTCCACACACAAATGAGCATTTTAGTAGGCTTCATGGTGGAAGTTGCTGTCATTTGTAAAATATTCTGGCCAATTAGCTAATAGTGTGCTTGGATTTCTCCTGTTTTGATACAGTAATACTAAGTACATTGTGAAGCCCAATTATACAAATCATCCCCATATGCCATACCAGTCTTTCTTTATGAACTGTGTTTATAAATCCTGTGTGAGGAAATGTGTACTTCAGCAATTTAGACCATGTGTAAAAACATAGCCAATGGGATTGTCAAGAAAACAAGTTCCAGCCTAGGAAGTCCTAATGTGTTCCGCTGGAATAACAGGAGGGTGCCGAGGAGCGCAATGCTCTGCTTAAATACATATTGCTTTATAGTGTTTAACCGATTTAGGGGCTTCCGCTTCCCTTTCTAATATGTTATTCTTCTTTTCTTTTAGGATCCAACCTTGGAGTTTTTGAGAAAATTTGGGATTGGTCTTCTCTCGGGCACAATAGCCTCAGTCATTAACATCCCTTTTGATGTTGCCAAAAGTAGGATTCAAGGGCCTCAGCCAGTTCCTGGAGAGATCAAGTACAGAACCTGTTTTAAAACAATGGCAACAGTCTATCAGGAAGAAGGGTAACACATTCTTATTTTAATAAATGAGCAAGACTCAACGATTGTCCAAACCCTGTTGTACTTCCATTTCAACAAGAGCCATTAAGCCCTCCTGAATTGGGTGTGTGTGAGAAGCTCTTGGGAATAGATGACAAACTTTGCAAGATAACACAATAATGAGATGTTGGCAGAACATTCTTACATCATCAAGAACCATGAACTGCCAGTACAATGTGCTGCATGTTTGTCTTAAAATGCTAAGGTGAACTTTTTGCTTGTTGGTTTACATAACATGCTATTGCATATCTTACGCCCTATTAACACATGGGCAGAACCATTGTCTTCTGACTGTAAATCTAATAAAAATGTCACCTAATTATATTCTCCTGGGAGAATTAAACATGAGAGTTCTGTGAAAGTAGTTTTATTTTTAAAATGTAAAGTGTGTGCCTTTTTCTGCTGGTCTTTTTTTTTTTTTTAAGTCTTACGTCAGTGCCTTCCCTCCTCACCCAAGTCTTATTCTCAAGTAAACATTTTTTTACTATTTTTATCTAAACTGCATCATATTTCCTTATGTGAAGGCTGAGTTTGCAGTCTTTTAAATTCAATTACAAAAGTCACTTTGTCTTGAAAGTAAGACCTGTCTTAAAAGCAAAAACCATCATGCTGATGAAAATCATATTTCTGATTGGACAAGACCAGCATAGCTTGGGTAATAAAGAATTAATGAACTCTTTCCCCTTGTCCAATTTATTGCAGAGACTATTTAGGCAGATGCTGTCTGGTTTTGGATCTGTATAATTTCAAGTAAATTTTTTTATAAAGGCTGGGTTAGCATCTCGGTAAAGCTGAGGTAAAACTCCATTTTGTTTTCAGAATAAGAATGTTGCTCTTTTCTTTTCGCTTATAGGATTTTAGCTTTGTACAAAGGCCTGCTTCCCAAGATTATGAGGCTTGGACCAGGTAATGGTGTTTTTATTACTTATATCCTTCCTTCTTTGTTAAGTTCTAGTGTCTCTTTTTTTCTTATTTGTGTCTATCAACAACACAATAAAAGTTTATCCCACTGTGAAAGACAGAAACCTTGAGGATATAGAGTTGCCTATGAGTATTCAAAATACCAAAGGCATTAGAAATGTTCTACCTTTGTTTATAACATACTATTTATGGCCTTGCTGGAGGCTGATGGAAGCCAAAGCCCAGCTTAAGTCAATAGGAAAGGATCCACAGCCCGTTGGAGTTGGAGTGAGCACCCAGGTATATACACCACGGTGGCTCCTGGCAGAAGTGTGTGAGGGACCAGACCAATAAAAGTCCCCTGGCGCTCCTTGTTCATTCCTGCTCCTGCCTCAACTTCACTTCAAAAAGAGGAAAGGAAGGCCGCCTTGCCTTCACGAACAGCAAGAGCCACTGGTCTTCACAGTCACCTCTGGGGAGCGTCACCTTCCCGGCCTCTGTCAGCTTGACAGTGGAGGCTCCTGGCTCAGGGCCTTACCTCGCGACGCCAGCCCACAAAAACCGGCTGCCGTTCCCTCAGGGAGAGTCAGCTGCCTCTATGTAAATAGATAAGAAAATAACTGCGACAGACTCAACTGCCTGGGCAAATAGTCTTGAATTATAAGCAACCTTGTGAATAAGTGCGGAAGTATACACTAGACCACACATATTTTTTTACCAGGCCACACTCACCTACTTAGACATCCTGGTTATGTTCCCCAGAGCTTTCCCCTCCCCCTGCCCTCTCCGCCTTTGCCATTCCTCGGTTAACACCGGCGTCCCCCTCTCCTACCACACTCAGTCACATGCACATTTACCCTTAAATCTCAGCCCGATGAATCAGCATTTCTACCAAACTGAGAGATAGAACAAAGTCTATAAATTGAAGCTGGTAAACAGTTCACATTTGCTTGTATTTAAAAAACACTTCCTCAATTCCAGTTCATCTATTCCCACTTTTCTGGGCATTTAAACATGGATTTTGCTTCACATTTAAGATTCAGACCCGCCTTCTGTTAGTCTTTGGCCCGTGTGTAAAAAAGAATCCAATAATAAGAATATTGGTGATTTAGTGCAACTCTCTCGGCAAGTATGTGGTGTTTTTCCTTCACCACACAGTAAAAACCTGCTAGTAGACCTAGCATTAGAGAAAATCAGAGGACTGGCCTTAACCCAGCTTTCTCAGAGGGGTTGGGCCTGAAAAGGGTGATGACCCTGAAGAGTTTAACTGTAACGGTAATTGACTGGAAACTTAATCCAAAACTCTTTAAATAATCTGACCCCAAGTTTTGTTAGAGGCTTGCAAATGTTTGGTTGGCTTTTAAAAATGTTTTTGCATGAGGTGTCCTGAGTTGCTGTGGTGTTAAACCCAGTGGAAAGGGTTGTTGTGAATGTACTGTCCAAGCTAAACAACACTGAGTAACTGGAAATCTCATTCCAAGACCTGGCCTCCATTCTCATTCCAAACGTGCAAGATCTACCAACTTCAAAGTAAAGAAAGGTAGAGAGAAAGGTAAGACTTTTGAGTTAAGGATACAATTTTTTAAAAGGAGAAAGAGAGATTAAAAAAGAAAAGAAAGGTGAGCCTGAAATTTTCCTCCTTCGTTTTGGAGAAGCATCTCATCTTGTTTTTGTAACAGCCTTAGCAGCTCTATGTGGCTACCAATAGAGGTCCCTCCCATGAAGGGAGAATCTTGAAGTCTGTGGTTTAAACTCCAGATATCACTAGGCTGAAAACGAGCCCAATTCTGTGTGTTCTTGTCTTACGTTGTGAATAGTTAATAAGAGTAAACACGGCAGTTATATACATATCAACAACCCTCTGCAGTGTGTCCCGCCTTGTTTGCCAGAGCGCCAAGAGGGCTACAGCAGTGAGACGGGTCTAATAGAGTATCTTCATGGGTTAAAAATGAAAATTACAGGCAGATAATTATCTTTGGTATAAGGTTACACAAACATGTGCAGCCTGTAGATTTTTTTAAAAGCATATGGCAATGTGTACAAAAGAACTAAAATCAGAATCAAGTTCTCTTTCTTTCCATCAGAAGTCAGTCTTCTGTTCGTGCAGCCAAGTCTTCTCTCAGTTGTGCTGAGGCTATTTGTCCACATTTTGATTTTGTAATAGTTTTCATACAGACATGAAAGGCGAAATCGAGATTGTCTTAAAGGACACAGGACATGTGTAATTTACTGCATCAGATAGAACACAAAACCGCCCACGTACGAACGCTCTCCTGATGTCCAGGTATTCGGCAGGCTCGGCGCCTGCTTTCCTGTGGCGTATTCCTGTTGACATATTGCACAGTGAGCCTCTTTGCAGCCAGTTATGTAACTCTTCACTACCAAGACAAATGGTGCTCTCAGGACACCCAACCCCTACTACCGAATTTTCAAGTACAATCCATGTATGTCCTAGGCAGATAAAACGAAAACAAAAGGAGGTTGAAAGCTAGCTTAGTTTTGCAACCCCCCCCTTTTTTTTTTTTAATATTCAGAAGCTATTTTTCACATTGCAATCCAAATTGAAAGCTGTAAGAGGAAAAAAGCACACTCATTCGGCAAGCAGCGTCTTAGAGATTTTCTTCTCAGATGCAGCTACGACAATGCTAATTATGGACTGAAAAAGATAAATCCTTTGCCTACATATGAAGAACCTGAGGCTTCTGTTCACGGGAAAGCCACATGCCCTTACATGACTAAATGTCTATATTTATTTACTTTTAAAAATTAAAAGTGCCTGAAAAAGAATCTGATGAGAAATGATGAAAGTTACAGAAACTCATGAGGAAAAAATGTATTTGGAGACTCAAGATGGTCTTGATTTTGCTCTGAGAATTTTTCACAGTAGTTTTATATCTATGTACTGGATCTCAGGAACTGATGATTCCGAACAGCCCCTGCCCAATAGGCTGCGTGGGACTTCATGGACTCAGAAGCTGACTGGGAAGGACAACACTGTTTTATAGGATTTATGAGAAAAACCAGCTCTTTTCTTTTCTAGGTGGTGCGGTCATGCTGCTGGTTTATGAACATACCTATTCATGGCTTCAGAAGAACTGGTGATTGCCTATGAAGTGCTTTTACCCCTGGAGATAATGCATATTTGCTCTACAGCACCTTGAGGCTATCAGTCAGCTAAGCTGATACACTTGCACATTCTAATTACACAATTCTATGCAATTATAAAAGGGAAGACAATTTAAGAACAACATCTATTTCAATACTTCAAAAATTATCTTTAGACAATTTGAGACTGTAGTTATGGCTATATCAATAAAATTATAAGAAGAAAAATAATATGAAGCCATGAGTATGTAAACAATATAGAAAAATAGCATAGAAATCAGAAATATTTCATAAAAGCAATATAAAATTGGTGACCTATGTTTTTTTTTTTTTTGCATTGCTTCACAGTGAAAATCTGTTGTGCTGATAATGATTTTTCCCCAAGAGGCCAAAAAATACTTAAAAAAAAAAAATTAAGCCAAAATTTAAACAGTTTTTATAAGAATTAAACTCTTCCATAAATAATATTTAAAAGTCACAAAGAAAATATTTTAAAAGTGCACTAAAATGCCTTTTTTAAATGTTGACTTTTATGTTAAAATCTGTTTGGTTTTCTAGTAATAATACACATCTCAGCTATATTTTCCTAAATCTACTTTATATTTTGCACTGTTGTTTAAATTAGGTCATACTTTAAAATTCTGATATTTGAAGTCTTTTATGACAAATAGAAAACACGAAGTTTTATTAAACTACTTTCCTTCACCTAGTTCCCTTTGAAAACAAGTTTTGTTGCTGAAATATGTTCAGGTTAAATCACAAATTGGAACCACTCCTTGGGCCCATTTGTCTTTCTGTATTTGCATCCAAATACCTTCGTTCAGAGCTCTTGCCTATGCCATTCTTTAAAAGAATGTTTAAAGTACATTTCCAGGTTATTAGTTACAGGTGACAGCTTCAGGTGTGGAGTCTGCTATTTGCAGTGTTAAAATATGTATTATTCAGGGAAAATAACATTTCAAAATAGAAGTACATTCTTAGCATTTCCAAAGATTCCTGTACTAACATGCACTCCAAAAAATATCTTCATTCCCTTGATATAACCGAAGGATTTTATATCTTCATCCTTAAGTGATGCTACTTCAGTAGCCGAAAGTCAACAAAAATATCTGCATGTTCTAGGTGACCCTTGTTCTTAACTACGACTATGGGATATTTCTACCAGGAGGCTATGTCACTAAAGCATTTTGAAAATACAAATAAAAGATAACATGGTAATTATTACTTTTTATTAATTTAGAGCATTTGAAGTATAAAAATAAAGGCTTTTTGACATACTGTATATACATACACAGCCTTCAGTTGTACATCCTTTCCAGCATGTTTTTAATTTATAGTCCAGCCCAATATTCAAAAGAGGGTCATTTAAAGTAAGAAAAAACAAGAGAAATAAGAATGTGTCTGTTGCACAACTGCATTCTGTCCTTGCAGGTAATACTCCTGCGTCCTGTGACAGAGAGTACGGCCTGCACAGAGGCCATGAAATCGAACCTTTAGCCTCTCCATGTGGATGGGATGGGAAGGATCTCTGAAGAGTGCATTTGCCAGTTAATAAATAGTTTCACCCCTTAAGAAACAGAGGAAATATGTCAACATTAACCAACAATAATAATGTTCAAAAATCAAACAATCCCAACCCTATATCCCGTCCCATTTTCCTTCTCTTATTTTTTAAAAGTAGCTTTAAACCATAATTGCTTTGAATAGCAAATTGTACTTGGGGTTTCCATTGTCTTTTTAAATTTATTTCATGTGAATTCACTGTTGCTAAGAAAAGACCTAGAGGGGGGGAAAAGAAAGAAAGAAAACTTTGATATCATTAATATTAGATTTTTTAAAACACAAGAACCAGAGAAATTATAAATAGCATAATAACAAGAGATTTCTTAATTTAGATAAAGAAAATAACATTTAGTTATGTCTCCATACAAACAACTGATACTTTTTTAAAGACTTCTACTAGCCACCTAAAAACACCTGATAAGGAATAACTCTGTACCTTACGTCGGTCTTTCTGGACGGCAGGAGAGTCCCTGTATGGTATGGTTTTAAAGTCTCCACCAAGATATTGGATTGGCATCTTTGTTCCATTCAGTTTATAGTCTATTTTCTCACCAGACTAGGAACCCCAGATGTCATAGGAGTTTTACAAGATCAAAGGGAGACTAAGGCCCTGAGAGTTCATCTGCTCCTTCTGCTTGTTCTTCTCCTGGAGTTATAATCCTGTTTCCAGCTCTGAATTCCAGGTGCTTTAGAAACAACTGCAACTCAAAGCTCTCTATAAGATACCTGCTGCTTGGAGAAAGCAGTGCCTCAGACATAATTTGTGTCAGAAATCTGCATACTGTTTACAGCCTGGTGATTTGAAAACCCAGCTAATCTAGCCATCTGAGATTTAAATGAAGCCATGAAGCTAATGTGAAGGAACTGGGTAGGTAGGAAGAAACCAAAGTCACCTAAGGAACGCATCTTTAACACCCATATCTAGGGATGTGCCCTTTTAGTTATTGCACAGAAGTAATACCAAAAACGCGCAATATATTAATTTTCCAATAGATGAATTGTACCAATGTTTTAAAAAATTATTTTTAAGCCTATAGTGCCAAACAGGAAAAACTTTCTAAACAGAAGATAAAAAACTGTAGAATTTTGCCCCAAGAAAATCAGTTGTTTTAAAATGCAACACATAATTACACACTCACACACACATATACCCCACAGCTCTATTATTAACATTAAAAGTGGCCTAGAAAGATTTATCAGTTAAACTGTATCCTGTAACTCCAGAAATGAATAAAGGGAAATTTTAAAAATTAAATAGCATTTGTATTTCTAATACCACCACCAGTTTACCTACATGTGAAACATGCTTCTGTACAACAATGTAAACTTCACAGCAAGCCATTTTTACATTCATTAGAGCAGAATTTTCCATTTTCTTTAAATTACAATGTAATTTTGGGCTGAGATTGCTGAACACACAGGTAAGCCAACAATAACAGTACAATTTAGTTTCACAGTGGTTTTCTTAACATAAAGTTCATTTTAAGTGTCTTTGCACAGAGTTTCACATTAAATGTTAAGTTTCTAAGTGACTTCCTTTAGAGCCTTCTTGTTCAGATATTTTCCACCCTCTTGTCTTTGTGTGTTTGGAATGCATGTTGTCTGATTAGGATACGGAATGGGAGAGTGGCTTGTTTTATCTGTTGTTCAGATCCTCTGCTGTAGAAAGAAAATGTCCTTCGTGAGATGCTGAAGCCTTCACTGCACACACAGCATTTATGGAAAGTCCAGGTCCAGGAGCCTGAGCAGCCCACCACCAAACAGAGACAAAGACGTTGCCAGAAAGTCACCTTTGCAAAAAGAAAGAAAAAAATAGCGGGAGGGGGGGAGGGGATACCCCATGGAATGAAAACACAAATGCACCATCCAGAGTCCATATTTACAAACTAATAGAAACTATAAACATCGTCATATTTGGAACCAAGTCAAAACACCAGGAGGAGCTAAACTCAGATATTGCTTGTGTTATACATATATTCTCCAACAAAATAGGTCACCTCTTAAAAATAAACAAAGGATCACTCAAACAAATCAATTATTGATTGGTTTCCTAAGGATGAATTAAGGTTTATTTGGTCACCTTATTTGATTAGAGGGTGTAGCATAACTTTTTTCTATATGTATTTTCTTTTATTGATTTTGCAAAATCTCAACAATTGCACGTTTCATAAGGTCTGGTTGATTTAGAATAAATATACACATGTGGTTTTACCAAAGACTCGTTTAAAAAGTTCCTTAAGCCCTTTGAGGGGTGCAGGTTTCTTCACTGCATGAGAACAGTGTGTGGGCAGCACAGATGTCTCATTCAGTCCTTAATATTGCTCTTGTTTTTGAATCCTAACGTCATGTCAGGTATTCTGTGAGAGAGAAGCTATGGCAAGAAATATTTAGGTGTCATCAGCACAAAGGAGGTGAGTCTGTAAAGCCAGCTCTCCAGGCAGAAGGGTGAGAGGGCAAGAGGGGGGAGATCCGAAATCAGGGCAGCGGGGAAGGGTGTGCTGACGGGGACCCGGGCGAAGCTGCTGCGGACGGAATTTCCAATCAGAGTGCAGAAGCTGTGACAGAGTGACTACCTTCTCTGGCTGCCTGCATTCCCTTGAACGCCAGCGATGCGGGAATGTCACAGTTGTGGGGGGAAAGTGGGGTGCCACTGGCATGTTGCCACCCATGTCCAGCAACATAACCGGAAGGAGCAGCGCTGTAGGTCATGTAAGGTGACACTTGGGCCGGGGTAGGATAAGGAGCCATGGTGGATGCTGACACAAAACTGCTCACGGCTGGGAGACCACTTGGTGCCTAAGAAGAGTTGGAAAAGAGAAGAGGTGGAAATAATCACATTACAATAGTAGACATTTCACAGGTTCTTGGAGAGAAGCAGACTTCAAGTTCTAAGTAGTAGTAGCTACAATATTCTGACTCTACTTTCTGATTTTTTTTTAGAGTTGACCTTAAGCATATTCTAAATGCATTCACAGTCTTGCTACTTAAACAAACATAATGCCAACAGACAAGATATTATTCTGTCCACAAAGGTTTTGAGGAGGCTGTGACCAGAAAATTCACAGTATTTGCTTTGCAATTCAGAATTATAGGGAGGCAATGCAGGGTGAGGAAAGAATTAGTGGTGATTAAATACTCTTAGAATCTGTTCTGCTATCCATATGCCTTTGTCAACCTTCCCTGTACTTCGGTTTTGTTTGGCTCTTTTGTTGAGGCATTTGTGAAGGGCCTGGTTGGTATAACTTTCATTTCCAGTAAAAAAAAAAAAAAAAAAAAACACAGAGCAGGGGTGTCAGCTTAGAAACTCAAAATGAGCACAACTTTTGTTAAATAAAACATGGGCAGTATTTTAAAACATCGCGTTGTAAATGCTTGTTGGACAAAGAACATGCAAAATTAGACAGTTTGTCTTTTAAGAGTTTTTAAATTAAGGTTGGGGGTATGTTTTCCAGAGCTATTTTATCAAAAAGGAACCTGGCTATTCCAATATAAAAGAACTGCTATGTGTGGTTTTGAAACTGGAAAATTTGCTTACAAAGTTTTGGGGCCCTGTGATGTGAATTTTTAAAAGCCACATGGATAAATCTCTTGAAAATAATTTACATGTAAAATCTCAGCTTGCAAACAAAATGCAGAAGCTCTGGCAGGCACGTCTGCCTAGAAACCAGTACTCTCTTGGCGTCCAGTTGTTGTTGGTATCGTTACTATTAACAACACTAAGAACACCCCAAAAACACCCCAATTTCCAAACTGATTCTAGAATGAACACTCAGCATCCTTCTTCAAGGAACTTAATTTTTCCCCTCAATTTCTACATTATTTAAAAATAAAGAGTAATTCCTTTTTCCTTGTAATGATGTGAATGAATTAACATATTTTCTAGTGAAAGTAAAATGCAAATAATAGGTTTATTATTAGTAAAACTGACTTAATCCTTAGAAGTAAGTAAAGCAGACATATGTTAATTCGATGCTTTTTCCAATTCAATTGCAACAAAAATGGTTTTCTGATTTAATTCATTTGGTTATTATTTTCACTTCCACACCTCTGTGAATGCAATGGTGGGGTCTCAAAAATGATTTTCTCAATTTAGAGTAATACTTGGAGTAGATTATATGCATGGGTATAATTTAACACTGCTCATGAATTTCTGACAAAATAAGAAAAGCGGGGGGGGTATTAACCTTGTGTTCTTGCTCTATAAGAGCATGTCCCTCCTGTTCTATTTGTCGAAGTGCCTGTTCTTTGAAAAATGGGGAAGGAGAAAGGAAACCAAGGTTTCTTGAGTATGTCCTGGCACCAAGAAATATTCAATATATTTTATTGACTAATGAGGATTGTGTTGTACCATTGAGTTTATAATAATTATAAGAGAATATATAAAGAGTACAACACAATGTTGAATTAAAATAAAAATGTATTACAAGGGTCCCAAAGGGTGATACTGTACTTTCAAACGAAGAAACCATTCCACATCACCATTTAACATAAAATCTTATTCTCTTTTTATACGAAATAATATAGGTTAAGGAATTTAGCCATTTACCCTAGGGCAATTGGCAAGTCAGTGGTCTGTGTTAAAAGAAGTTACCACTCCTGTCTGATGCAGGATCTTCTGTAGCAAATATTTTTTGCTTTCACTGGACAATGAAAAGACAAACACAAGTTCATCTCAAACTAGAGCATCTTTTGAGATAACATCTGGTAAAAGATTCTTTCTTCTTCTGGATTCTCATTTCTCTATTCTCATTTTGTTTCTTAACTTCTAAAAAGATCTGTTTTCCTCTCTGAGAATGGCTCCCCAGAGGAAGGCTCAAAGGACGTGCCTCAAGGCTCTCGGCAGATGAGTCTGAAGACGGTGAGCTATCAAATTGCTGAAGAAATCTACCACTGCACCGAGATTATAGTTCCGATCGTGTTTATTTAGGATTTCCCTAATAACCTAGGAGAAATTAGTTTGGAAAGGACTCATTCCACTTCAGGTAAGGAAAGGCATTTGCATCTGCATTGGGCCTCTTCCATCCAAGTGTTAATTAATATTTTATATTATTGATGCCACTGTACACCAAGAATCATAAAATAAGAAGGTTAAGATTAAAATGTTAAGGATAAAATTACTTTTAAAATAATGAAAACGAAAACTTTTGCTCAACATTTTACAAATGCATAAGGTGAGACTGTTTAATGCTATACATGAGAGAAACAACACTCTCATTGGCAGGAAAAAATCTGTTGGTGAGTTCTCTTCGCTACCACAGCTAACTTTTTTCTACCCATTCTTTTCATCTTTGTATTTTTTCTATCATTCAAAATGACAGTTCTCTCTGAAATTCTTGCTTTGTCATCTTTCTTTTCCTCTCCTTGCACCCTTCCCTTGGAACCACTGCTCCTTGATGTGCCCCCTTATTTGGGGCTCAACTGTTTTGTTGCATTGTCTACAATCCCTTTACACGCACCTACTTCTTTTTTTGCCCAGAACTGTTCCCCCCGAGAAGCCAGCCTGGATTACAGCTCGCCTTCAAGTTCCTGGGGTTTAAGGGGAGGTCAAACACTGGATTCAGGCCCATATTACCTTCAGGTGCCTTATTTCTTCCATGACTATATTTGTTTGTCAAGTGTAAAAACACTAATTTTTCCATATTTGTCCAATTTCTCACACTTAAGGCATCACACTTGCTTTCATGTTATTATTCCTATTAGTAAAAATATTTCAAAGTTCTCTAAAATCTGCAATATAGTTAATTTTAGTCTCCTTTGTATTGCAGAAAGGAAAAGTGGAAAGGGAAGCTGGGAGAGGTTTGACATCCACAAAAAGGCAAGGGGAGGCCAAATGTTTGCTTAAAAAAATCTTTAAACTTAGTATAAAAATAGCTCTGAACTTTCCCTCAGGTTAAATTATGACCTAGATTTGGAGTGAAAAGTTTTGTCTTAATTTTTCTTTTTCTGTTTAAAGTTCAGATTTAGAAATTTAGGGAAAAAAACTGCCACCTTCACTATTCATACTAGTGACTCAATAAACATGTCCATTTTCTCACTATTAATTTTGAAACATGACATTAGTAAAAGATATAAATCGCTACTGGGTAAAGTGATTGTTATTTATGAAGCAATCCCTGAAAGAGTAAAATTTTCCACCACGAGGGAAAACAACTATAGGTAGCACTGATGTTTATTTATTCTTTCCAGTGAAACAGTACATGACTTACATTCCCCAAACCTGCTTACTGTTTCCAGTGAAGGGCATGTAATTAATCTGAAAAGCTAGTTAGGCTGAGTAGAGACTACCAAATGTACGCCATAAATATAGTGGGAGCAAACATGCTAAATTACTCTATTTAATTGAATTGTAAATATGATTTATAAATCAACCAACATATGGAATCCCCAGGGAAGAGTAAACAAACTTTCCAAATGAAACCCCAGCAATGGGCATGTAATGGAAATCTCATTTTTGAAAATGACTTTACCTAAAGATTCCATAAATAAGACCTCAGTCCATCAACCCCCTTTTTTATGCAGATCTTCCTTGAAACCAATAAAATCCTTTCCTTCTAAAGCTGTACAAGGGACTTCCCTGAAGCAAATTAATTACTATCTGATTTTGAGAATGAGATTTACTAATGCAAAGTAAATTAGACCAAATTGCATAGCCTGGAAAAAATAAGTCACCTGTTTTGCTGAATATTTTTAGAAAAAGACAGATTTTATCCCACTGACATTAAAGGATATTGTCCTGAAAATAATACATAAGATGCAATGTGGTTTAGTTAAGGTTATCACAAGAAAGAATGAAAAGTGTGTGTTCATTTCACATGCTCTAAAATGTTAGAAATATAGATTTGCCAGTTCTTAAGAATATCTTTTTAAGTGAATATGTTCAGAAGTTGTATTGGTAGACAGCTAGATTATAAACAGTTTGAGGACAGGGACTTGCCTTAATCATCTCATATCCCCACAAAACAGGACACATTATAAGTGTTTCACAATCATATGTATACTTAAGTTAGAGCAGCCTTTTGAAAGCAAAACATGTCATACTCTTGTTCTAAAAAATGTAGGCACCCTTTATCACAGAACAAGTGTTACACTTTAATAAGCAAAATGAATAAAGCTGTTGAAAAAGTAAAGAGAAGTTCTAACCTAGCCATTTCATTATCTGATTGATGGGTGGTCCATTTTTTCCTACCCCCTAGAATATGGAGATGCATTAGCATCCAAACACTAATGCCCACAAAAAAACAAGCAAGCCAAAAAAAACAGGCATGACAACTGTTCGTCAATCAGCGGTTATAGATTATTCTTCAATTTCTGGGAGTTGTCTACTCAACATTTTCTCTCTTGAAGAAAACACAAATATCAGTGCCAAATCCCTTAATGACAATCTTTTATCCACTCACCAGTCCTACCTGGTCTCCCCTTATAATGAAATGAGTTTACCTTGGTTTTATAATGAAGTAGATTTAGTTGCAAATAGAGATGTGTGCTTCACCTAGAATTTCAACCTCGATATGTATCATAAGCAAGAAAATGGTTCAGATTTGAACATAGACAAGATTTTCTCTCCTTTTTGGTAAAATCATTTTTCTGTAATTCTAAATTTCTTAATTCATTATACAATGACAGTAAAACAAACCTGACAAAATGAAATGACAGTTGTAAATATGGTTTCAACATTCATCCAAAGGATCTTAATTATGCTTAGTTATCCCATTGCAGATCTAAATGTCTCTAGGTAATAGAAAGCTGCTATTTAAGTTTTATTCTAAATTTTATGTTTCCAAATTGTATTAAAATTG